AAATTTGAAATATCGGACCATCGCAAAAATAATTGCATATTGCAGATTCTAATCTTAGCAAAAGTAGTGTATGATTTTAAGAAAAACTTGCATTAAACCATCAATTTATAAGGTTTATAATCCTAAGAAATCATAGTGTTTACTGTGATTGAATTTGGCTAATAATATAGCTCATGAAAAAATTTTAGGTACCTATACATTAGTTAATATTGATTGGTGATCAATCCAAGAAGGTAACACTCTTCAGTCTGAATTGTGAAATCGTACTCAATCGTAATTAGCAATCGTTTATAAATATATTAAAAATGTTCTTTGGTTTCTTTGTGGATGCTAAAGTATTTTAAAATTGTGTGGAAATCACTTACAGAACGGGAGATAATTATTTGGTGAGCAATAGTTTTTACATATTTGCAAAGAGTATTATAATTTAATTTAGGAGCTTTGCCACGCAGTGAAGATTTAGGGAAGAGGTCTGTAATATTAATTTAAAATTGTATTTTCAACTTAAAATTCTAAAAAATTATTTAAAAAATTAATAACGTCCTTTAAATTACATTTCTAAAAAGTTTGAACATATTATTAAACTCTTAGCAAATACTTAATAAATTGATTAATATATTTATTTTAGAGCTAAAAGATGCTTTCGGTCGATCGGTACCAAACTCGTGAAAGCGTACTAATCGACAGACCTGTCCTCTGATAATAGTATTTTTGATATCCGTTTCTAAGTAAACTCTCAGGCATTTAAAGCTTTAAAGCTACCAGGATAAAACTTTAAAAAACTTTTTTGTAATTAGTATGTAAGTCGGAACGGTCCGTATCTGGCAAGTGTATCGCAAAGTTCCCAATGAAATAATCAGAAAACAACAATTATAAAAAATGGTATTTATGTGGTTTGTGATCATTTTTTATTCTATTTCATAATACTTATACAGTTGCGGCAACAATAATAGCACCATTGTGTAGGCAATTCTTATTTGTGCTATAAAATGGCTATTTTTTGCAATATTTGCATTCTGTAACTAAGATAAGGGTAGTTAGGGGAACAATACGGATGGTTTTTGTAAATTGTTTTGGAATTTTTAAAATTGTTTTTCTTACTTCCTTCACAGTGACGATTCACAAACAGTGCCCAAACCTGTCACTATTTTACGTAACTCATAACTATTTTTAAGCACAAGTTACCCTTGCTTTAAACATATTTATACATGGGCGTAAGTTAAAAGCTGGAGGGGGATTTCACTTCAGGCATTTCAGCCCCCAAAGCCAAACTACTTAGACCGTTTAGAATTATGTTATTTAAAATTGTGACAGGTTAGGGCACTGTTTGTGACTGTTTTAAAAATTCCAAAACAATTCACAAAATTATGATGAGTGTCCTAAAAATTAAGGACATAAGGAATCTTTGGGTCAAAAATGCATTGTAGAAGAAAATATTTTTATTTAATTTTTAAACGCTGTTCACAAATGAAGATTTTTAAACTTTGCTGTGACTTTAAAATTTTGAGTGCCCCCACCCTCTCTTGTGATTCAGTTAGATTGAATTTTCCAAAACGACCGTAAAAAAGAGACATGTAACTATTTAATTCCAAAAAGATTTTCAAAATTAGAAGATATATCCCAAGATGTATCCCCCAAAAGATACTGCAAATACCAGAGCTAATGGACTATAGGCGTAGTGGCAACTTATGCTTAGAAAAGCCTCATTTATCGAAATAAAATGGTGGCAGGCCTGGACAACGACCCATGTCACGAATCGGACCACTATATGTTCCTATAGGATAATTTTTGATAAACATACACAACTTTTAATACTACTTAAAAAAAACAAGGGTTAATACACGTTTAATTTTCCTAATCCTATATTCCAACAAATCACAAAAGTCACTACTTCCCATATATTTTCATGTGTCAGTTGCTAAAATTTATTTTAGTATAAATCGGTATTTATCTGTAGACATTCTCAATTTAGGCTTTTCATATAATTAGAATTATATTTTTGGTATTTATACAAGACATTCATTCATTTTGAAGCCTTGCAAATCACCGCAACGAAATCCTTTTCTTTAAAAAGTTAACAAGATTTTAATTATTTAATCGTTGCTGCAAATTAAATCAATGTGTTTTGCTGTAATTATAAATTTGCAGGATTACTTCATCAAGTTTATGAGATGGATTTTAAAGTGACAGTCGCTGCCATCGTATTATTGGTAGTCATTATTGTTATTGTTAGTGCAATTACATTAGTCTTAATAACATATGTATATATTTGATATTTAATATTAATAAATTCTGATGTATTTGTAAATAGGTTATTCAAATATTTGAATCAAAATGTACTCTGTTGGGACATTACCAAAATTGCATAACTCGTAACAAAATTGTGATCTTGTTTTTTATAATAGATTGGAATAGTGTTATTAAAAAAAATATTATATAATTCTTAGAAGTCAGCAAATTCATTGTAATTGATTAATTATAGTAATCTGCCAGTCATTTATAACCCAAATAAATGAGGTGTTTACAAACGAAATTTTCATAAAGTCTAATAAATTCTCGATTACCGTTAAGAAGTAAACATATTGTTGTATTTATTAAATATTATTTTTAACTATATTTAAGGTGTTACACAATAATATTAAATGCGTTTTGTTTTTTCCTTAAAAGGGCATTAAAAAGTCGCACCAAAAGCTCCAAACTCTTCAATATTTATTTTGGTTACCTGTACCATAATTTAAATATTTTTGCTTTTAATTTTAAATTTGGAAAAATTTACACAAAAGTTTAATTTTACGTAAAAAATTTAATCATCAAATCCCTACAGTAGAACATTTTCAGAAAATGTCACAACTTTCAGACTAGAGCCCTGCACGAGTAGAGTTTAAAACAGCTCTGAGCTTGAGCTTGAGTTGTTTGTTTGTGACTTTGGAATCATAGGTCATGGGATCATAGAATCATCGAGTAAGAGCTCCTCCCATGAGCCTATGATTCCAAGAGCCCTTTCAAACAGTTTGGCTCGAGTAGCTCATGTCAAAAAAACAAACCGAACAAACAGCTCACGTTATTCGAACAAAAATAGCTCCAAGGGCTTAATGTCATTTCCATTTTATTTACAAAAAGAGAAAACGATTATAAGAGAATCATGGCCGACCGCCAGTACTTTTTTTTTAGCAAACTCTTAAGAAATCGCGGTCCATAGAGGGTAATTTTGTTTAGGGGGGAGAAACGTTTTATTATTCACTAGAAGAAGCAGCAAAAGAATTATCCTCGGTGGACCGCCATTTCTTAAGAATCAACAAAAAGAATTTTTTTTTGGCAAACTGTGTTTGGCAAACTTTGTTTTCGAACGAGTCGAGTAGCTCATTGTAAAAATTTAGGAGCTGAGCTATTCGATTTAAAAATTTTTGTGAGCTGATTTACTCGAGCTGTTTTTTGAAATGGGAGAAAAAGGGCTCTACGAGTATACTCGTGCAGGGCTCTATTTCAGACCCACTGAACCTTCTTTGAATTTTTTTTTCAACATTTATCATTATCACTTAGTGTGCGAAATGAGTATCTATAGAAATGCAATAATTTAATTTATATACCCGGGGGTAAGTACTCACTTGTCATCGTAAACAAATTAATTAAATACAAAAAAAACAATCAAAATAATTTTTTAAAATAAATTTCGTAAATATGATATTTTTTTTAGTTCTGGTGCTACTTTTAAACAATCGCTCTCCTTGGATTAAAAAAATATGTTAAATATCAAAAAAAAAGCTTTTAAACTAGTATTTTTTCTGTTTGTCTTGCTAAATTTTGAATTACTCATTTTTATTTATTTGTAGTTCGTAATTGTTAGAGAACCAAAAATTATAGCTTGTATTTATATATATTAAATTTTTTTTAATTTCTATACAAAAATTAATACAATGCAAGAAATACTTAAAAGTGTTTATAGTTTTTTTTTGTTTAAGGATGCGGTGGGTACACCTTTAATTTGGAGTGCACAATAATCCTTTTTATTATGACTAAATGATGTTCTAAATTTTATTTCTTGTTTGCTTCTTTGGGGCTATCCATATATTACGTAATCACATTTTCGACCATTTTTGACACCATTCCCCCCATGTAATCAATTCTTCATATAAAAACAAAAACAAATTTTACAAAAACTTAAATTAAGTTTGGCCTAAATCGAATGATAACTTAACAAATAAAATTTGTAACCAATCAAATGTGGCTTTTAATCGTATTTAAAAAAACGGTTTCACCCTAAATCCCATGTCTAGTAATTACGTAATATATGGGACAGCCCCTTTAGATATCCTGCACTGGTCGAACATTGTATATTTTGGTGAGATTGGGTTTTATACATAGTTCTTGCATATAGTTAATTTTAAAGCTTCGGAAATCCGATAGAATTTTGTACTCGTTTTTCATACTTAAAGCTAATATTTCAAATTGTGTGTGAGTTTATATCTAACGTCTAATTTTATATATAGGACTTGAACGATGAAGAAGTAAACTTAGTGACTCCAAAAATTACAAGAGATGATTCCGAATCGTAGCATCTGCAGTTTCAGTCATTGACCAGGTACAGTGAGACTATTAAAATGTTTGCTTACAAGTATTAACATTTTATTTTTAATTTTCTCTTACAGACTTCAAATTTCCATCAGAAACGAACTTTTCTACTGAGGAATACCCCGTTTGGCCTATAGCAAAATATCTTTGATTTTAAAATTTCATTTTAGGATTACACGGCATTGTACGTGTTCGGCAACCATTGAAATTTGTATGTAATACAATTAGTAAAAGTTAAACAGTGAATTATTAAATTGTATGTTAACTAAATTTATGTGGTCCTTTCATTCTAAGCGAAGTCCGTTCCTAAATCGTGACCACTTGCACTATTAACTGGTATCAAAGACAATGCCAAATATTGAATTCTAGAAATATCATAAATATCTTCATCCAGTTTCAAAAAGATTTGTTTTTTATAAATACTAATTGGCTTTGGTAGAAAAATAAATGTGCATTCTTTATTGAATTTTAATGTATCCATTCATTTTGATACAAATTGTGTCAATATAAAATCATGTCGTAAAATGTTAATAGTAAATTTGATGCAAGTCATGTGTTTACAAAAAGTATAGTTGGTTCTCCAATCCGGCAGAAGGGGAGCGATTAATACTTTCGGCCACAAGGAATGCCAGTTTGTGGGCGTACTGGCACACGGCGGGGACCCGGACAGTCCCGGAGAAGTTGTAATACATATGGGTCATTTTATAGGCGAGCATCTGAAGCTTATCGGCGGACAGGCCCATGTTGTCGGATATGACGTTGTAGCTCGTGGGCGACACTGTTCCCTGACGAACTGCCTGCGACACCAGGAAGAAGTCGTACCGCTCGGGCAGGGTGATCACATCGTCAACAACCGTGCCCGGAAGCGGATTTCTCTTATTTACAAAGTAACGAGAGTTGATTCGCTTGGACACGATGATAAAGGCCATGCGACAGCCCTCCTCCTTGCCAGCCGATTTATATATTTCGTCCAGCTTGGCCTTCAGGAACTTTACTTCGGTGTTGACAACCTGGTAGAGCTGTCCATCGCCGACACCGTCGCGGAAGAAAAGAATGCGCTCGGGCAAGGTACCGTGGTGCTCCCGGTAGGCTTTCAGGGCGCATGTCATATTCAGCGACATCTGGTCGGACAACTCCTGGCCCTTCATATGCTCGGTCACCGAGGAGAAGTAGCGGCACGAAGTCTTTTGGTCCATGGTAGCTACCAGAGCTCCATATGACTTATTTTTGTTCTTCGACGAGTGGCAGACGTCGAAACCGACAGTCATCAAGCCGCGGAGAGGCAGCTCAATCATCCAGGGCGCACCCATCAATTTGGCGTTCATCTGTATAACCACCTTTGTGGCAATTGACATAAGCCCAGCAGATTTCTCCTGCCGTGGAGCGATAACTCTTAAAGTTACAACCTGCGAGGGCACCGGTCTGTCCACGCAGGTGCGCTTCTTGATGCAGCTGTACCTGTTTAGCAATGGAAAGAATTTTAGAACTTGTTCTGCACGATCAAAACAATCGGACGGACTTCTCTTCATTTGTAGCCTTTATCACAACCATCACAATTTGTGGATCCTTGGCCACGGCATTATCGATCGACTGAGAGTAAGTGCCATTACGGTCGTCCTTGATTTCATCGCTACAAAAGACAGCACATCAAATTGAGTACTCTCAAAATTGTATAAATACTTACTAGCGAGGCTCAGAGATTTGCATCTTCATTCCGCTGGCTGCACGGATGCACATCTTCACGAACTCCTGCGTCTCACGCAAGTTTCGAGCCGGAGTGATCACATACCACCTCTTAATGTCCACGTGACTGTACATCGAGGAGTTGCGGAACTCATTGGTCCAATCGGCGCGAGCGTCGCACAAGAATCTCTTATTGTTGCCGAACACGATTTTCTCCGGTGGCAGAACGCGAGCTGGGATTTCCACCAAGGCTGAGTCCAGTTCGACGTTCCAGGACTTAAGGGTTTCCATGCTCTCCTTGGCAGACTTCAATCGCTGGTTGAACACGCGCAGGCGCTCAATGCGACGATCCGGAGTCAGTCTGGTATGCTCGCTCATGGCCTTCATCAAGCTAAACACACGAACAGCGAACTTAGCAAATATATTTGAAAGATATAATCCCACTTTAAACTTACCGGAAATTGGCGCGCATTGCGTCGGTCATGCCTGTGGCCCGAGCCAGCTCGGGAATAAGCATGATGAGTTGATCAACACCTCCACGAATGTTTTTCTCGGTGGGTCGAGACACGACCAGAGGCTGCTTGAAGTCTCGGATAGTGATGTTGTATCGCTAAAATAAATAAACCATTAATTCGATTTTCAGACATTTTGGGAAGCGTTCTTGCACTTACCTTTTTGTAGTACTCCACATAAGAAATGTCGCCATCTTTGGTATTAAACTTAGATAATGGCGACGAAGCAAAATCAACATCATCGACGCGATAAGTTTTATTATTGTAATCAGTTAGCACAATCATACCTGTTTAGAATAATGCAAACACATATTTTTTGGAGATTAAACAATGAAAAGGTTACAAAATAAGTAACCAACTCACCCATTACATCTCGTTTGAATGCGGTTTGATAATCGTCGTTGTCTCGAATAGCCTCGGATAAAATGTTGTACAAGGTATCAGTTCTCATAACTTTATGTGCGATTTCTGCACAAAGTAAAATATCACTTTCGTGTTGGCGAATCGATGTCTGGTACCCAGGCCAGAGCTCCATGCGGTAGCTCTCCAAATTAATCTATTGGTAATAATAGGGATAAATTACAATTTATAAACCATCAAGTTGATGTACGAAATAAACTAGCAAACCTTTGCTTGAGGATCGAAAAAGTTGCGAGACACCAACTGCAAGTTCAAGCCCTCCATTGCCCTGCGCAGGATCAGGTTCAAGACCTGGAACTGCTGGTTATCAGCTGCCTCCACGGACCCAACAGACTTGATTTTGATCTCATAGTTTTCCCCCTCACGACTCTTCGTGACGAGTTCCAGAACATAGGGGCTATTTTGCACCGGCTTAAACTGACTGGTGCAAAACAAAATGGTTCCGTCAAATATGTAGCCACCCAAAACGCTTCGATGGTGGTTCATAAAAGCCCGACGTAAACGCGTGTTGTCCACATCAGGGACAAAGTCAACGCGGTACTGGTAGATGGTCCAGTTTGGGCGTTTCAGAAGTTTGAAATAGTTTGTCTGGACAGTAATTTTGGTTCCAGATGTTCCATTCTTGGTTGTCAGTCCCTGAGGACGGGAGTGTACGACATCTGTAATCAGACGACGACCACGCACCGACCCACGAGGATCACCTATTTTGGATAAAATTAGAGGTCTAATAAAAAGGAACTAAGGAAATAAGGCAAAACAACTACTGACCCTCAGAGCTCTGAACTTCCACCTCGCTCGACTTCGTGTCTCCCGACTGCTGTAAGTGGCTCAGCGGTACCTCACTCGATGAACCCTGACCACCCGACCTCATTGTTTCAGTTCTTCCTGATTGCGAGGAATGCGGAGACTGGCCCTGCAAAGAGAACGTTGTTGTTAAGTGCAGTTATTTTCAGAGTTTATGAATTTATTTATGTAGTAAGCTTATCCATTCTAGGCATACATAAATGTTTTGCAATATCACAATTGCAAGGAACTTAATTTAAGCAAATTATAAGTTAGAAGCTTGAAAGGCAAAGAATTAACGGGGGTTGCACACAATTCGAATTTTGGGTTGAATTTTAATTGATGTAAGACAAAGTTCCAATTCGAATTCTTTGTCTATAAACAAATAAATAGTAATAATTAATTTTAAGTATATCCTTGACTAACATTTTTGTTCTTATATAATAGTAATAATAAACTTATTGATGTTATTGGTTAATATTAACTTACACAAAAAAATCTATTGGTAAAATTTACCAATAGAATTGTCAAACAATCGCCAACCAATCAAATAACTACTCTTACGTAGTATGTAAGAGTAAGGGTTACTATAAAACAAAAGTTATGCAATTGTAAAAAAGGTTAGAATGTGCTCAAACCATTAATTGTAGTTAACTTAGGGGAGTGTAGGGTAATTTGACGAGTAGGGTAATGTGACGAACTCGTCGAATCTCATATATGACGTCACGACAAAAATTCCAAATAAATGTAGTCGTCTCCCCTTATCGTGTCGACAATGTATTTACAGTAATATTAATAAGAAGTCCCGTAATTTGTTCGTGAGGTAATTTTCGCTAAAAATGTGGTGCGCAAACTAGCAAACCCATTCAATTTACTTGTGTTTCAGCAGTGCCAGAGCAAAGATGAGTGAAAAAAAAAAACAAGCAAATATATGCACGTATACATGAGATCTTTATCAACAGTTTTTGGTACCTCGCGTTTTTTTCTTTTGCGCCGTTTGAGAGTGACAACGTTTTTGCTCCAAGTCTACCTTGTAGGGTATCGTGACGAACTTTTTGTAGGGTATTGTGACGAACTTTTTTTATTCAAGAATTTTAACTGTTATCGTTGATTATTTGTAAAAAAAATATAATAATACCAGATAACATTTACTGCTGCAGTTTGGTTGTTGTTTTTAATAGTGACGTCAGTTTAATTTAATTTAAAAAAAATTTGCACTTTGACCATTTTTTTTTTGTAAGTTTGGGTATTATCTTATTACTTTTTTCTTTTCCGTATCGAAAATAACCTTTCCGTAAATAATATATAAAAAAATGTATTTTTTGTTTGTAAAAAGGATGGTTTACACCAAACTTTGTGGGATTTGGCTACGTTGAAATTTCGAATCCAAATTTTTTTAGAAATATGCTCAGTAAATGTAAGCAACTTTCTGCTTTTACACTTTTAAAAAATATTGATTTTTGGAGAAGTTACATTAAAGAACAAATCGTTCGTCACATTACCCTACAACTTTTGAAACTGCAAAAAAAGTAGGGTTCACGCCAAACGCTGTGGGATTTAGCTGCATTGGAATTTCGAATTTCGAATTTTACAGGGATATGCTCAGTAGATGTAAGCAACTTTCTGCGTTTACACTTTTGAAAAATATTGATTTTTACAAAAGTTACATTCAAAAAACGAATCGTTCGTCACCTTACCCTACACTCCCCTACTATTTTTAAAGAAAATATACAATTATTTATAGATACTTCACTGCAGCAAAGTTATTTATAAGTAACATTAAAAAGGTAGTTGTCTTATTACCTTTTACAAAAGTGACTAAACCTTATAAAGGTGCGGGTTGCACTTGACTTCCAGCTAATGTGAAAGTATATCACTGTGGACAGCAGTCCACGTAGTGACTAAGAGCACCAGGAAAGATCTCAGTAAAATTTTTTATGAAAAGGACGAAAAAGCGGCGAAAATTGTCACTTTCAAAAAATGATAAAAAATACAAGGACAAATATTTTGAATTTTTTTTTTTGCAGTTATTATTAATTTTGTTTGGGGAAAATCTTTGCATCAAAACATTTTTGTTTTAACCCCAGAAAAAAAGTTTAAAATTTGACTTTCATAAAATATTGCGAGTTTATTTTGTTTTTTATTTTTTAATGAGACCAATTAGTTTGCTTTAGTTATATTTTGTATACGAATTTGTTAATAAATATTCAAAGAATAAACACAAACAATTTGGATTCATTTCCTTTACTAATAACTTTTCAATGCGTACCGAAAGTCAATAGTGGCAAGCATGTACTCAGTTTTGCACCCCACTGTATGTACGCGGTCCTATTCCGTTCGGCTACGCTAGGGTTGTACGTATGTACATATGTATGTATGTACATTTGTATCCATTTTTGTACGTACATTTCCACATTCATACATTTATAATCGCCTCCTTGTAATTTCGTTTTTTAATTGTTCCCTGAGCTTTTTTTAACATCATAAGGAAGGCCAGAAGGTCAAGAAATATTTGTGTTATGTTGTGTCTTTATAAAATTTGATCTGCGTGGTCATCCATTTTATGCGCACTGCAACAAATTCTACATAAGGAACACACTCAGCGCAATTGAAAAACTTGATGTCTTGAGGAGTTTGTTTTAAAAAAAAAAATATTCTAAACATTAAGTCTAAAAGTTTTTAAATATTGCAAATTAAAAATGAATGAAAATAGTATAGATCCGTTTTAAAAAATAAACTATTCTATAATTTTATTTTATTTTTAAATTACAATTGTACAATGTACATATAAATTTTTATGTATATAACTGGAGATGTGCATGTTGTCTGATTTGCATACCTGCAAATTCATGCATAATTACATAAGTATGTATATATATACACGCATACAGATTCCAGTCTTTTCATGAATGGTTGGATATGTATGTATGTATACATAGGCAAGTCATTTGGAGGTACATATGTACATGTGTAAGTATTTGCGAGACTAGCATTTTTTACGCCGATTTTGCACCAAGATAAGAAAATTTCTGATTTGGGATGCATATGAACAAAGAGTGGTGATGATCATCAAGGAAATGGCCACATATGAAAAACAACTGTTCTTATATTTTCTTTTTTTCATGAGAAGAAAGCTTTTATTAACGCAGGCTGCATACATATATACATATGTATGTTCCTGGAACTGCATTTCCTAGCACTGTTCGTAAAGCGTTTGAAATCGTGTTTAAAATGCACGAATAATTCATTAAAATATTACTCAGACTCAGAAATCCCTTTCAACTAAAAACTGTTTTATTTTTTTTATTGATATACTACTTTGGATTTGGAGATGTGGACAGTTAATGTTGCTTACCAATTGGGGAGCCATGCCGCGGTTTGCTTCTTCATTTCGCTTGTTCCCGCGACCGCGTCCGCGAGCGGTTCCAGTATTGGGTGGCAAATTCATTTTTAACTTTATATATCTTTTTAGATCTCAATTAACACTTTGTACTTAAAAAATCTTTTCTTTACTAATTCTTCACCTTGTACTCGAAGAGTTCCCAGACACGCGTCACAAAAATGAAAACGGAAATGAGCGGGACATCTTAAGACGCCCAGGGCTGGAACTCATTTTATGTTCCTTCGGTTATCGGTTGTGCTTTTTCCGATAAATTCTGCATTTTTGAACCCATTTGGTGTTGCTTTTTGGACGCAATAATTGTTCCGAAACTTAAAACATGTAAAATTTGATTTTTATACCCTTGCAGAGAGTATTATAATTTTGGTCAGAAATATGTAACGGAGCGAAGGCGACGTTCCCGACCCCATAAAGTATATATATTCTTGATCAGGATCAATAGGGGGGTCGATATAGCCATGTCTGTCTGTCCATCTGTTTCAATACCGTTTGTAAGCGCAGTTTAAAAGCTAGTGACTTAAAACTTTCACAGATCAAGTTTGAAAATCGATCCGATCGGATGTCTATATCCTATAATCGGATATAACTCATAAAATAGAAGATATTTCCGGCAGTGTGAGAGCTATTCACATGCATCTTTCGCAATCTTATTCTTTTATGCATACCTTGATCAGGGTACAATCCCGTGCCGGTCGGACGTCTATATCCTGATGTTTTTCAAAATATTTCGAGCAGTATATTATTAAAGAGCTATTGACATGAAACATTCCAAATCATGTATTTTAATGCATGCCTTGATCAGGGTAAAAGCGCTCGGCTTGCCGAAGCTAGCTTCCTTCCTCGTTTATTGATAATTTTTGTCTTAAATTGTTACCGAGGTAAAAACAAGAGGGGGATGGAGATATAAAATTTTGATTTCGCATAACTTTTTAAGAAATGGTCCGATTTGAAAAATGTTAGGGGGATTCCCTAAACTGTTACATTGCTGAATTGTTTAAAATTCACAAACAATTTCAGCAATTAAGGGAACGACCCAAAATGGTTCCTGTTGAATTTTCAAACAGCTGTTATTTGTTGAAAAGTTTCACGGAACTTAAAGCATATAAAATTTGATTTATTATTGCTAGTTACTGTCTAAAAGTGTTACCAAGGTAAAAAGAACCATACAATTGCATTTAGACAAACGCATACACATTTTAAAAGATGAGATTGAGATTGTGGGCGTTAGGGGTGCGTGGCACCTCGATGAAACAAACTTGAGTTGCGTAGGAAGTCCAATTTTCTGGCTTTTATAGTTTCCGAGATCTCAGCGTTCATACGGACGAATATGGCTAGATCGACTCGGCTAGTTATCCTGATCAAGAATATATATACTTTATGAGGTCAGAAACGCTTCCTTTTACCTGTTACATCCTTTTGTACGAATACAATATACCCTTTTACTCTACGAGTAACGGGTATAATAACCACAAATATGCTTTCTGAATTGATTTTGAATGAAATAATATACTGGTGATATTAAAATGTTAGGGGTGAGCTGCTGAAATCGCTGAAAGTTGAGTTTGTATGGAACAGCTAATTTACAGCTGTCAACAGTTAAGTTAAACAGGATGTCAAAAAAGTCACTTCTATTGGTCTATTCTATTGGTCGCATGCGATTAAATTAGATTAGATTAAATACTTCATTAAGAACTTTTTTAAAAATGTTGTGCAGTAAAAAGTTAAGTTATACCACCAAGAACAGTACAACAAGACCAAGTTTCGAAAAAACCAGGGACCGAAAATAACGGTTTTTGTAAATTTTTTATACAAAAAAAAAACACGCACTTAGAAGAGTCCAAAATTTTTTTTAAATACACCACTACTTTTATTAGCTATTGTAGTTTACAAATCCGTAATGATTTTTATTTTTTAATTTTTATAATAAAACTCAAAAAATACCTGTTATTTATTTGACATGTTTGAAAAAAATTAAATAATTAAAAAAAAACATGCTTACCGTGTTTTATATAATTTACTAAAAATTTGTTAAATAAGGCAACCGCGCAAATTTTATAACTATTTTTTTTTTAAATTTTTGTTACCCACAAAATCGCTATAAATCTAGTTTGAGTTTTATTTTTGATCACGACGAATAACTGTTATTTGTCAACTTTTATTATAAAACTCAAAAAATAACAGTTATTCTTTGAGTTTTACTTTACAAATCAGAAAATAACTGTTAAAATGTGTGATTTTTAAAATTAAACTTATAACAGTTACGGTCCCTGGATAAAACTTACTCTTCGTATACAAGTAAGCCAATACCAATAGGTGGTATTTACTGCCTACAAATTTCCAAAAAGTACCCAAAACTTTATAATACCCTTACAGAGGGTATTATAATTTCAGTCAGATGTTTGCAACGCAGTGAAGGAGACGTTGCCGACCACATAAAGTATATATATTCTTGATCAGCATCAATAGCCGAGTCTATCTAGCCATGTCCGTCTGTCCGTTTCTATGCGAACTAGTCTCTCAGTTTTAAAGCTATCGCAATGAAACTTTCCCGAAAGTCTTCTTTCTATTGCAGGTAGTACATATGTCGAAGCGAGCCGGATCGGACCACTATCTCTTAAGGCTCCCATAGGAAGGTTAGGTTAGGTTAGGACGGCTGCTAGACTATAGCCTGGCACACTTAGACCTCTGTGGGTCCATTGTGATACCGTATGATCTCTATTTTTGGGTCCCCTATCCGTTAAGAGTCAGCCTGTAGGTTGGTCGATCAGCAAGTCCCCCATCCGGAGGATTTAATAAAAGAGCTTAGACTCTTCAGATTAATCTGCGATATTTCGGTCAGGTCATTTATGAAAGGATATCCCAAGTGATTCAGTCTAAGCCTGCATAGGGCTGGGCATGAACAGAGTAGCTGTAGCCCTGCCCTGAGTAGCCCTGCAGCTTCTACAAAAATCATTTTTTGGGGCTTTTAGCCTGCCGGCGTGTGCGCCAACGAGCCAGTGGCCCGTGAGTACTCGAATTAGCATGCCGCACTCAGTGCGGCTGAAATTAAGTAGGTCTGATGTTTTCTTATTGTTTATTGCAGGCCATGTCTGGTGAGAGATTCGGCACTGCGGTGTGTTTTGCCAATTGGTGTTGGCTAATTTGCAGAAATGGTTTTTAATAATTAGCTTACAGGTAGCCATAGGCATGCCAATATTCTCCTTTCCTGGAAGGAGAGGTATGGTGGTGCCTTGCCTGGCTAGCTCGTCTGCTATACAGTTGCCTACGATATCCCGGTGACCCGGAACCCATATAAGGCTGACAGTAAACTGACTAGCCATCTCGTGAAGAGATTTGCGACAGTCTGCTATTGTTCGGGAGTTTGTATTCGTCGAGTATATTGATTTAATAGCCGCTTGGCTTTCACTATATATGTTTATGTGTCTGTTCTGGGTGTTTAAGCCCCTTAAACAGACGAGTGCTTCCATTATAGCATACACTTCCGCTTGGAAGACACTGCAGTGGTCAGGAAGTCTGAATGACTGCCTGATCTCTAATTGCTCGGAGTATATGCCTCCACCTACGTGTCCGTCGAGTTTGGAGCCGTCTGTATATATACAGATTGCGTCTATTGAGCCCGGTCGGCCCCGATCCCATGCTTCCCTGCCTGGGATCAGAGCTTCGAAGGGCGTGTGACTGTATTCACGGGTTTTACATAGATCCGTTTTTGGCGGGATCAAATTGTCATGCTGAAGAATCTTAGCGTAACCATACAGTTGGGATTTCCATTGCCCCGTATCCCTTAGTCGAATGGCTGCCGATTTCGCCCTTTCCATGCCTGCTAAGTCCAGGCTCTGGAGGTTCAAGATCGCATTCAGCGCTTCGTTTGGGGTAGTTCGAAGGGCTCCACTAATACACAAAGCCGCCATGCGCTGTACTTTGTTAAGGGGAGTTAAGATACATTTGTTGTGTAGAGCGGTCCACCACAAAGCCACTCCATATAGTAGGATTGGCTTGACTACCGCTGTGTATATCCAATTGACGATTTTAGGGGACATACCCCATCTTAGCCCGATTGCTTTTTTACAAGAGTAAAGTGCAATGGTCGCCCATAGGAATATTCAAAGCAATATAAGAAAATTCATCGTAATTTTGTAGGAAGTAGGCGTTTTGATTCTTGACAACTTAGAAACAAAATTTAAATAGAAACGCTGAATTTGGAATCCCTGGAACTACACCGAGTGAGCATTAAACTATAGGTATTTACTTTAATTAAGAGCAACATTTCTAAAATAAACTTGGTTGTGACTTTTGGCCATGAGTTACTTCGGTATCTTGCCGAGGTCTAGACTTGCATAAATAAGGAATAGGTTTTAACGCAACTTGGTATTGCTGTACTGCTCTTGGGGGTATAACTTAACTTTTTACTGCTCAACATTATTAAAACAGTTCTTAATGAAATATGTAATCTAATAATACACACATTTAGTTCGATTTTTTTAATTTAACTACATAAAAAACGATTGGACCACCCAAATAGGCGCACACTTCTGATCCTTAATTACACGAATTCCCAAGTTAAACTGCGTTTTCCAAAAAGTTCCCCGACGCCAGGATTCTTAGCAAAAGTACCTCAAAGTTCGAAAAATGCTGAGATTGGCCAACTTTGCGGAAGTTTAACTTCGAAATTCGTAACGAATCCAAAAATATAGCATCCATCGAGGTAAATTTTTGATGCTGCATAGTGTTATTGGTTTATAAACGTTCTAGTCGGTAAATTGTAGATTTTATGATAGGTTTCTACTCTTAATAGTGTTAAATTAATCGAAAAGGTACAAAATGATGTTTTTGCATTTCAACCACCAAATTTTATTGTTTTTTTGTTATTACCGTTTTAATGTGTTTCCCAAAGGATAACGAGTATGATCGTCCAGCTAAAAACTTTTTGTAATAATGATGAACATAGTTCATTTTAAAAAAATTTGCCGATTTAAAACATTGCGTTTTAATATTTTTTTTTGTCATTAATGCTGGCACTACTATTTTAATGAGCGGCCGAATTTTGACATAATTTTTAAAAATTGGTATAAACTTGGTGTAAACCAAAATTTGGTTCCGGTTTTGGCTGAATTCTACTCTATATAGTCTTATCTAACAAAAAAATCCGAAACGGTTTCAATCGGTATAGAAATATAGCCACATTGAAACTTTTAAGAAGTAACGTAAGTGCACTACTATTTTCGTGGTCACAGCTGTAAGTCGGAACCAGCCGGATCCGAGAACTATATCTTATAGCTCTCATAGGACGGAGCAAAAAAATATTATATAGCGGCCGAAAAATTAACATTTTGTCATTAAATAGGAATTATGTTTTTATTATTTTTTAGAAAAATCTATATTAGATAAGATGCGGAATTACCGATAGAAAACTCGCGGAGTGTGCAAGCACTATAAAATTCAATGGACGAAATGAAATAGAACATCTTTTCTTATCGATAATGACATACTGCAACTAAACTTTAAAAATAATTCCGCCAAACGATCAACAAAACAAAAAAGTATGTTATTTTTAAGATCATTAAAGTTTTAAAAATTAATTAAGAAAAAATAATCGAATACATAATTTATTAATATGTATTCAAAATATCTGCAAAGATAAAAAAAAATACGTTCGATAATAATTGCATAGCGATATTGTTTGATTTATGAAGTTCTTAAAAGGCAAATAACTTCTTTTGTACACTTTCACAACATTTTGTTGTTTCCTGATAATCTCGAAATGCCTTAATTAGGCGGATTGCAATTCTTCGTTTGTGGTGGTTTTATTGCCCAATAATTGTGTTTGCTTAAGATAACTCTTAAAAAGTCTTCCCATTTCAGAGCGCATAAAAGCCGGTAGCTTCTCGTGAAAAAAACAGTTGATCTTAAGAAATTAGCATGACCAACAAAGAGATCATTTTTGTCGTTCTTCTAGCCGTAACATTGGGTATAACTGCGGAGATTTGTCCATCACCTTTTGATCGAGTTGGCAACAAATGCTACCACGTGTCCTTACAAAAGGTAGGATTAAGAAAACACACCTGTTACTGAAGATATACACATTTCGTTACAAAAAAACCATATATTTTTAGGCCAACTGGCATGTTGCCGACCGCAGCTGTCGAAAGCTCGGAGGCGAACTAATGGTGTTAGATGACCAGGAAGACAAACTATTAACGACCGAATATCTGAAGAGTCTGGGGCTTTCGTTCTCCCAAAGCTGGCATCATTCCGTCTGGGTTGGGATCACATGTCTTGGAAACACCCGCACGTTCCTCCTCGCCAAAAATGGCGATAATGTGCCATTCCTGAACTGGGTGCCCAGAGAACCAAACAATGCGTCTCCCGAAGAAGATTGCGTGGGTTTTGCAAATTACAACGGAGCCTATGGGTACCACGATATAGAGTGTAAAGTCCAGTTCCCTTTTGTTTGTCAGAGGCAAGCAACGGAGGATTATCTGTGCCTTAAACGGCAACAGTTCTTGGAGGTACTCTTGTGATAAGCAAACCACCAGCTAAGAAGATAAAATAAATAAACTTACTGCACTCAGACCAGATTTTAACTTGGATACTCTTTAAAACCCATTTTTAACGAATAACAGAAAAATGTAGATTTCAATTTTAGTTCAATCGTATGTCGTAACTCGAAATTGTTGTTGTCAATTAGTCAAAACAGAAATACAATTTGGTATTTATCCTTGCATTCTCGGCAAACCGGTTTGCATATGTAACTTGACATTATTCAACACACTTATACCATCACTTATTTTTCTATACTAGACAGAAGATTCAGGTACACTCAATTTCTTATTGAAAGTTTCGGCCGTTGGTTTTTTTTATTAACATTTTAGGTTGAAACATATTATAAAAGTCTAAGACTCTAGCTTCACAACGGTCGTCTTCTCGGACACGTACAGACCGTCAAGGAATTTACGGATATCCTTATTCTTGACGGTGGTGGACTGCTGGATGAGGGCGGCAGATCCGGAGACCGACTCGATGTCGTTTCCCTCCACGATGAGCTCGTCCTTCTGGGCAGTGGAGTTGACCACGGTGACGCCAGCTGCCATTTCCACACGACGGATGTACTTCTCGCCCAAGAAGTTACGGATCTCAATGACCGTGTTGTTCTCGGAGGTGACGCAGTTGATGGGGAAATGAGCGTACACAGCGCGCATCTTGTACTGGAAGCCGAACGTGACTCCTGGGGATAGAATATAGAAATAAAATACAGTCAAAGTTAGTTATAAATTTAGAGCAGGCTTTTCTGACGAAGCCATTCCTTTTTCCTTTTCAGAAAACCAGGACACTCTTTGGGACGTTTGGTAGTCAAAGACTACCAGGGGCGTTGATTGAAGCTACCCACCCCACCCTATGCTTCTGCGTTGTTTACCCCGTGTAATTACGCACCCTTGATCATGTTCTCGATGTGACTGCAGACGGTGCGGACGGCGGCCAGCTCCTTCTTGGTGCCGAACCACTTCTCGACCTTGAGAGTGCGCTTGTCGGGCATGTACATGTCCAGGGCCAAGTGCTTGAAGCTGCGCTTCAAGGTGCCGCGGGTGCCGGTGATGGTCACCACACGGGCCTTCACGGAGGCCTTGATGTCCTTGGGGATCTTCACGCACTGGTTGGAGTTGATGGTACGCATGATGACACTGTCGGTGGAAGCAAGTGGTTAGTTTATCACAGATAGTCCAATTGGCAGGTCAGCCAAAATAACATTCCAAACACCGAATTGCACGTCTGCACCAAGCACATCATTTATTTATATGAATTTAGGAGTATCCATCTCAGTAGATGTCCGTAACAAAAACGCGGCTCTTTATTTCACGGTGCCACACGCTCAGTTGGACTTTGAGTAGATCATTGAATTCGATGTTTGGAAAGTCCTTTTAACACAAAACTTACGCTCCGTTAGTCCGTCGTTTGTGTGAGACAAATTCTGGATGGACTCCTCGCTGCAATGGGGGATTTAATTATATTTTGGGTTAAAACTTTAATAAAAATATAACGCGGACACACACTCACCGGAAACGGGGAAAAGAAAAGAAGGGAAATTTAATGTGGCTGTGTGAAGCGCACAAAATGACCTAAATTTGCACGCCATGTGCCGTCGGCGTGCTGTTAACGTGTTCAATTTGGGCTGTTAGGCGCACGCATTCAAGAGTCGCTGTTCAGTAGGGAAGTGTAGCCTAGTACTTAGTACGACGAAAACTGCTAGCTAAGTATAGGAGTAAGCGAGAGGCAAATACGCAAAAAAAATACCAGATTTAGCGGATGATGTCCGATGAACTCCTTGTGTCAATAACACATTTTAATGGAAGTAAAAACCCAAAAACTAATGGAAAACTGCCTGTAGCAGTTGCGGCATTACATATCGCCATGCCAACACCAAAATTTAAAGCTTACGACCCAGGTCGGCTCAACATTTTGTAACATTTTAAAATTAACGCCAGTTGATTTGTTTGATGTTTGTGAGTCCAGTTCGCTCGCAGAACAGCTTAAATTTTGTCCCACACATAGCAACCTGTTGGCGAAGGCTGTTCCGCATTTTTTTAATTTTTTCCGCCACCGATTTGATGTGTTCTTGTAGAATTCCATTTTTCATAGTCAAGAGGAAGAATTCAAAAAACATCGCTTAACTATCGGATAAAAGAGCCCGTCAAAATTGGATGGCGGACTATTTGGGAAATTTGCGGAACGCAAAACCTTACGGACCATCCGTTCAACGGATGGTGGATGGATCGGGAAGACCCCTATAAATTCTTCGACTATGAAAAACGGAACGATGACAGCGAGAACAATTCAAATCGATGGCGGGAAAAAATTAAAAAATTCGGAAAAGAAATCAGCTGTCATTTTGTCATTACGTTTTGATTGCACTTCACGTTGTTTCGTTACGTTTTGATTGCCAGCGGAAAAGTATTGAAAAAGACAGCCGAGTACCTTTAGATTGAAAAAATCTGTATTTGTATATTTATTTGTATTTATTTTAAAAATCCTTAGTTTATTTTTTATTTTATGATTTTTATACATTATATACATTATTATTTTGTACCTAATTGCCCTGACAACCCTTAAATTAAATTATTTGTAATATATTTCGCATTAGCTTTCAGTTGTTCTATTTTACATAATATTACACCTGTTGCTTCCAAAAGCCCAGTTTGTGTGTAACATAATTTCCATATCTTCTTAGTTCTGTAATCAAAAAAGCTTGAAGAAGGCTTATTTATTGGCCCAGCATTAAAAAATGAATTAAGGAATACTCAGAAAGGGAGAAGTTTATGAACTGGTTCCGGGATGAGCCCGATTGGGCAGCACTGGCACTAGACGGTGATGCCGGACCAATTTAAAAATACAATTGGCGGGGAGCGTGGGTAAATCAGCATCAGCCGGCCAAAAAAATTGCAGATTAGTTTTCCCATCTAAAAATAAGAGCTTGAGCCCGTTTCCGAAGTTCCCTTGCACCCGTGTTAGCCCGCCCTAGTATAGTATTGCACACGATGACAGCTCCGCAAGCACAGCTGGACTTTTTTGTGACGGCGGGAAGTATGCTGGAATGGCATGACAATCTGGACAGAAATAAGCCGGGTCTGCTGGAAGTGAGTATAGCATTCGGATCTTGGCCCGCCCACCATGTCTAGCGAGCGTCTTTCCCTCACAGCTGACCGGCGTTAGCCAACATGGAAGGGCCACGATGAGTGGGCTCAATGACTACGACTACCAGACCCTGTCGTTCCTCAAGTCGGATGAAGCACATAACCTACAACAACTGCGGACGGTGACCAAGTCGGCCATACCCAACGAGATCCTGGAGCACTTCAAGCGTACGTATGCTCCGGGTGCCTCCTGGTGCCCCCTGGTGTTCGCCCTTCCAATCTCCGATCCCTCCTTGCAGACATCAAGTGCCACTGCACCATGGGCCTGTTCCCGGAAATCGGTCGAGCCTGGCTGACCATCGATTCGGAGATCTACATTTGGACCTTCAACCAGACGCGGGACGTGGCCTACTACGATGGACTGAGCCATTTGATTGTGAGCGTCGGCTTGGTCAAACCGAAGGCCGGTGTCTTTGTGCAGGATGTCAAGTACCTCCTGCTCCTCACCACGCCCATCGAGGTCATCGTTCTGGGCGTTACCTTCGGGGAGGGTTCGTGCAACGAAATGCAGCTGATGAATCGGCCCATTTTTGTGATCGGCACCGACAACGTTTCCATCAGCGTCATCAAGGGAACGGACGACGGACGGATCTTCCTGGGCGGCCGCGACGGCTGCCTCTACGAGGTGTTCTACCAGGCCGAGTCCAGTTGGTTTGGAAAGCGCTGCAAGAAGATAAACCTGTCCCAAGGGCTGGTCTCCTACATGGTCCCCAGCTTCCTGAAAGTTTTCTCGGTAACACTCGTCACTAGTTTTATGCATTGAGTAGACTAATTCGAAGTGATCTCTCCTTCAGGAGGTTGACCCAATCGAACGCATAGAGATTGATAACAGCCGCAAGCTCCTCTACGTTTTAACGGAAAGGGGTTCCATTGAGGCTTGGGACATCAGTACGGATTACACAAATGCGCGAAGGCTGGGACGGATTACCCAAAACGATATTACAAACCAAGCGGTTAGTCTGATAACGTGAGTAAATGTTCTGCTCACTGAAGACAAATTTAATTAAGCCTAATTACATCTGTAGGACTGTGGACCCGTCCATTTTCAAAGGTGTCAAGGCCATCTGCCCTCTGAGCGCTGACGACGCTGGCAAACTGCACCTGGTGGCTGTGACGCAGTGCGGCGTGCGGCTCTATTTCTCCACAACATCCCTAAATGTGCAGCAGCAGTTCAGTGCCGCTGCGGCCTGCGCCCAGGGCGAGAATACGGGATTTGGTCAGTCGGTAGCGCAGTCGGTGGCGCCACCACTGTCGCCCGGGCCCGACTCCCCAAAGGGACTCTATCTGCTCCACGTCCGACTGCCACCTGGCTACACGCCGAACGCCACCACCAACAAGCCGAAGCAGGTGCATGCCGCGCACTACACGGAGGGCACCATGCTGATGATCACCACGCAGCAGCAGGAACAGGACCTACTGTGGTCCGTCAGCTCGGCTCCGTCGGTTAACTTTACATACCTGGTGGAGTCGACGGCCCTGGAGAGCCTGGACGGGGTGGTCTGGGGTCTGGCAGAGGTGCACGAGTCGTCGACGCCGCTCCTTAGGTCTCCCTTGAACAGTGCTCGGCACTCGCGCAAAGTAGCGCTGCTTACCAACCAGGGCACACACATTATAGAGCTGCTCAAAATGGTGGACATTCTGCGCCAGATTCTCCTTTCGTGCAACGGCCCGCACCACGAGGAGGTTAAGATGTTCTTCCAGTCGCAGAATCAGCGGGAAGCCTGTGTCACCGCTCTGCTGCTGGCCACTTCGGATAAATATCGGGGCGGCGACGTCGCCTTGTGGGCCACACAGGCGTTTATGCTGTACGGCGGGGAGCCATGCTTCCAGCATCAAAAGTTCCTCAACGCCAGCAACCGCAACATGGCGAATCAAACGCTGGGTGCGAATACGACGACCGGAAGGGACCGACTACCCATGTTTATGTCCACGCCAATGCCGAATGCGGCGATCAGTCCGGCGTCCTATCCTGGATCACAGTTCAATCAGCCCATCAGTCCAAGTGAGTGAAATGAGACTTTGCGACTATGAAACAGTTTAACCAAATCTATAACTTGCAGTAGGAAATATGCAGCCATCGCAGGCGGTTAGCAACGAGAATTCACCGATTGTATTTTCGGCCAAACACGACGGACTTTACTTGTACGTCTCGCGGATGTTGCGTTCAATTTGGCAAATGCGCTGCGTAAATGAGCACTTTTGCTCCAATTTAAGCCACAGCGACTGTGCCCTCTTGCAATCCGATCTGCGATCCCTGCGCACCTTCCTGGAAGTGCACTCTGTGCACGATATTTCCTGTAAGTAGTTATCCTCAGATGTAATTAAATACTTGGTTTGCATGTTTAAGAACGCAAGTCTCTACTTACATATTTATCTTATCTTTACTTTTTTAGCATCTACCAGAGTCTCATTTGACCACTTGGAAAGAACAAATTCATACAACACCATCATGATGAACAACACTCTTTTGCCAATTCCTGAGCAACGGATTTTGTCCGAGCAGGCTCAAGTCGAGGAGAAGCGATCACTCTCCGCTCTCAACCTCTTTGTCAGTAAGTTGAAATACAGGCCTTTATTATGTTAGGTCCCAACTGATGAACCACTCTTAACAGAACATGCCTGCGAGGTCATATCACTTTGGAGCATTCTAAACTCGCATTCCTTCCAACTGATTTGCTTGCAACTCAGTCCCGAACACCAAAAGATGCTGAGGTGCTGTACCTTCCGTGACCTCCTTCTCACACGGTCCGAGGTCTGCGCGTTCCTAATCATCTCGCTGATTAATCTGTACCTTAAGGACAAGGCTGGAGTGTCTGAGGTGTCGAGGAACTTGCGTCAGAACTGCCCCAATCTCTATAGGCACGAGGATGATGTGACCTACAAGGCCACCGAGCTGTTGATGAATGCAAAGAACTGTACTTCGCCCGCCGAAAAGGAGCAAAAGCTGCGGACCACCCTGCAAATGTGCAAGGAAGCCGCCCCCACACTGCCACTGCATAGTATTTGCCAGCAGTTCATTTCCGCCGATTTCTTCGAGGGCGTGATCGAGCTCTCGGCCGTGTGTGCGTCAAAGAGCGATCCGGAGGAGGTTGGTGTCCACTTCTATAACAACGGAGAGCCCGCTGAGGACCGCGAGGGGTACACTTGCTTCGCCACAAGGTAGGCCAACCGTATTATCAATAAGAACTCTTTCTCGGCTACTAAACATAACTTTCAACCTCAGAATGACCTACTACAAGGAGGTGCAACTTATGCTGGATCATATCTACCAGACTGCATGCAACAAGTCGCAGATTCAGGACCAAACGCAATCGCCAGGCCAGCTTAAAGGTACAGGCAAAGCTTCGGATTCTAGGAACGCCGCCCAGCAAACGATTCCCAAAATTGTGGCTCAGACCCTGCGGGTAAAGGACCCCCTCATCCATGTAACTCTCTACGAATGGCTGCTCGCCCACGACATGCTCAGTGAACTTTTGGACGTGGTAGAGCCATCATTGGGAGAGTTCTTGCGCCGCAGTGTGTCGCGAAATGGAGAGAATGTGGTGCTGATCGATTTGTTGTGGAAGTATTATGAAAAGAATGGCCATCACTCCCAGGCAGCCCAGATACTGGACAATTTGGCCATGACACGCAGTGAAAACATAACTCTGGAACAGCGCATCGAGTATTTGGTGCGTGCTGTTATGTGTATGCGAAACGGGAACGTGGGCTCTTCAATAACCAATGGCATATTCCTGAAGGAACTGGAGGATAAGGTAAGATATCGTATGCTATGTGGCAAAGATACTTATACTCTTGAATTCACACTATTTAGCTGGACATTGCTCGAGTTCAAAAGGCAGTGCTCGCCGCTGTGACTGAATTGGCTCGCCATAAACTGGAGGCTTCCACGGCCGTAAAGGAGTTAAATTACGCGCTGTACGATATCACACAGCTGTACCAGCACTTTGCCGAGCCCTTCGACCTCTGGGAGTGCCAGTTGTCCATACTGAACTGCTCCCACCACAACGACCCCCTTTTGATCGAGTCGGTCTGGGGTAACATAATCAACAGCGTTGTGGAGGAGCCGGGCACCACTCAAGATCGCAGCAATAGGTTGTTCACGAAAATTGAACTGTTGGTGAGGGAGTACGAGGAATCGGGGGCCTGCTTTCCCTTTGCCTTTCTCATAAGAGAACTGGAAGTCAAAGCCTGCCAACTGCGCCTGCCCGAGGGAATAGTGCCGGAAAAACTAGTTACCATGAATCTGGACGTTGAACTGCTCCTGGAATACTACTCGAGGTGCGTTAGGTTCAGCTTTTGCCTATGCATATATATAATTACTCCTTATCTTTCAGGATGATTTCAATGAACGAACGTGTTTGGGCAAACGAAGGCAACGAGTGGCACTTAATCCAATCCGCCATACGAGTGGTGTCCCTCCTGGCAGACAACGCACAATCCATTTGGTACCGTTCAAAGTAAGTGCAGTGACTGGAAAATGTAGAGGATTAGGTTATTTTACATTGGTGTTTCTTTTGCAGAAGACGGATTATTGGCAAGGCTCAAGACATTGTGGCCGGCTGCTTGAACATTTGCTACCAAAAGCCCGATACCAATCGTCTTCAGCAATCGCTCAAGGAGCTTCAGAGTCGGCTGCAGCGATTGTTGGTTTGAGATCCCCGCCCTGCTTAAAGTAATTACTTTGATTGAATTTGAAACCGCTGGACTAGACGTTAAGTTTGACTGAGATATATATTGTATTTGTATTAAACATGTTAAATAAATTGATTTCCCCACAGTTCGTTGGCCCGTTCGCCAGGCAGCATGAACTCATGAGGTGTCCATCATTTTTAGGTGTGCTTCCGTCAGGATGCACTTGGTCATGTGGCAGGAGCATGGCACCGGGTGCTCCTCTACGTTGGGATCCAGCAAGTCCACCTCCAGATTGTACTTGCGCATGTCGCCTGCACTGCGCTTCATGGTGATTTGAAAGGCCACGGGTGCTTTCTCGTCCAGATTCTCGCAGGATTCCTCGGGCAGCACGACCACACACTGCTTCCAATGCGTTGGCGGCGAGAGAGGCGAGGTACTCAGTACTGAGTCTTCGCCAGGGAATCGCACATCGAACCAAATGCAGAAGCCCTGGTGGTTACCCGCCTTCTGGGCTGTCACCACCTCTTTGAACTGGATGCTGTCCAACTCGGTAGACTGCACATCAAGCAGATTCATCCAGTGAAAGACGACGCCCTCGTGGAGCAGGTCCTGTGGATTCAGGTGGGTTATCTCCGGCCTGGCTGACTTTTGGGCTCGCAGTTTGCTGGCGAAGGTGTCCATTTTGATGCCATCCACGCTGTGCCAATCGTCGAAGAGTGATGGCACCGAGCAAGGTGCCACGAAAATGGTGCACTCGCTGGGGAACAGAAGGCCGCCCTCTTTGAGGAACTTGTCCCGCGCCAGGAGCACAGAGTCCAGCATGCCCTCGTGCAGCAGGTAGAAACCCATCCACTCCGACACAATGATGTCCACCTTGTCCGCCTCGGCGGGCAGCACGAACTCCTCGACTCGGGATTGAATCACCTTCACCACGTTCGTCAGCCCATTGTCTTCGATCAGATCCAGGGCGACCTTTGTGGCCACATTGGATGCCTCCACGGCATAGACTAAACGGGCTCCTGCCTTCGCGCAGAAGGCGGACAGAATTCCCGTGCCGGCACCTACATCCATTACGATCTTGTCCTTGAAGAGATCCTTATTTCCCAAAATCGCACTGTAGTAGGCGGCTTGTCGAGGCCGATCCTTCAGCATAAGTTCGTGGATCTGCAATAAGGATTGGTATCAGTTGTGTTATCCTATGTTTGGGGCGTGTCTGAGAAACTTGCCTCCAAGTTTTCGTATTCATCGAAATAGGTATTCGCCATTGCTGCAGAGTAGAGCTATCAAAACATTTGCAGATCAGTGGGGGTTTTCAAATAAAAAACAACGTGCACTTCCAGTGTGACCGACGGTGCTAAGCAAAAAAAAACCGTATAATTAAGTCTAGTCTTTAATTACTGAATTCCGGTCAGCTGCTTATCAGCTGTTCAATAAAAATTAATTTCGACGAAATTTTATTTTGCTTTAAAACATTTTGTCTTTCATTTGGCTTAGTAATTTGCACGGATCAGCTTTTCAATGTGTTTGTGCTGGGAACCTTTGTTCCTATGCCCTTTAAATGGGACACTACCGACCGCTGTTCTAAAGTAAGGAGCTTATTTTTAATTGTAGACAATAACTAATTAGCGCCAAAAAATAAGAAAAAAATCACAGATGCTCATAAGTTCTCTATTGCGGAAATTTGCTGATAAATTTTCCATTTCATTAATTAATTGGATATGTTTTGATGTTTGCAATATAGATTTATAAGTGAACTTTTATTATCTTTATTATTTCTAAGAAATATAAATATATATTTTTTCAATCTGAAGTGGGTTTTAAAATTTAAATACCTACATGAAAACTAAACTAAAAAAAACATTTTTTGTAGTATTTTGGTCAACTTTCAACTTCTGCCACACTGAAGACCGCCTATTTTTTAGACGCTTGGATTCGCGCCATTTTCAGACGACAATTTTGCAAGTAAGGTGAAAGAAGCTTAGAAGTTTGACCCAGTCCTATTAAAGTTCAATTTGCCCTGCTCCAGATGCCATCAACCGATTTCATCGACATTCCAGCTGCCAAGAAAATGAAGATCGACAAGTGCATCCTTCGTTTCGCCAAGCTGACCGAAAATGCTCTGGAGCCGGTAAGGGGATCGGCCAAGGCTGCGGGAGTTGACCTGCGGAGCGCCTATGACCTGGTGATTCCGGCCCGTGGAAAGGCCATCGTGAAGACCGATCTCCAGGTGCAGGTTCCCGAGGGCTCCTACGGACGCGTGGCCCCGCGGTCCGGACTGGCGGTGAAGAACTTCATCGATGTGGGTGCTGGCGTGGTGGACGAGGATTACCGCGGCAACCTGGGCGTTGTCCTGTTTAATCACTCGGACGTGGAGTTCGAGGTGAAGCGCGGCGACCGCATCGCCCAGTTCATTTGCGAGCGCATCTTCTATCCGGAGCTGGAGTTGGTTGACAAACTGGAGGACACCGAACGCGGAGAGAACGGATTTGGTTCCACCGGCGTCAAGGATCTGCCGCCAGTGGCCAAGGCGCAGAATGGCAATGGACAGAAGGCAGCCGAACCTGAGGAGGCTGCTCCCGCCCCCATTGCCACGTAGAGGAGATACTATCGTAATATTAAGCACTTCGTACTTATGGGCCAATATTTCCTGGGCCCCTCATGTTCATAATCCAAAAGTTCCATCTTACTCTATAGAGTCTGTATTCTAAATATTTATTTGTTAAATAAAGGCCGCCATTGAAGATCGACATAATCCCAAAGGGTTTTGTTTTCCCACAAGGTTATTAGTTTGGTTGCCTGGTGAGTCGATTTACCTCGATTGTTTCGATATTTCAAGACCCCCATAGCTGGAGGCTCCACAAAAAATCGGTATTTGGAGGACCACTGAACTTCTGGATGAGCGTGTATTATGTATATTCTACACGTCGTCTACTAGAGCTGCAAAATAATCGATGGAACCATCGATAGTATCGATGGTTGGCCTCCGGTGACCGACATCGATATTTTTCAGACTATCACGATAGTTTAAAAAACCATAAATTCGGTGGAATTCTTTATAATTGTTCAGCCATTTTTAATTTTTATGAAACAACATTTTTTTTCAGATTGCGCGCGCACTGTTTTTTACTTTTACGTCATTGAAATTTATCACAAGCGTTCAGCAGACAAAATTGATCACTGATTACTGATCCATATGTATGGATACGTATTAAAAAGATCTTACTTTAAATTAATCTAATTGCGTTTTGAATTTTCAACAATTAAAATTTTTAATTTTTTAAAGGATTCTCAATGTTTATGTATGAGCGATACTATCGCGATAGTATCGAGGTTAATTCTGCAAACTATCAAAACTATCGATGGGGCCTACCATCGATGTTTTTGCAGCTCTATCGTCTACTTCGCTTCTACAAGTTTGTTACATTTCCCTTTTTAAGACCATTTTTACATTATTAGTTATTATACCCGTTACTCGTAGAGTAATTATACCCGTTACTTGTAGAGTATGTAACAGGGAGAAGGAAGCGTTTCCGACCCTATAAAGTATATATATTCTTGATTAGGATCACTAGCCCAGTCGATCTAGCCATGTCCGTCTGTCCGTCTACAAAAGCTATGCCCACAGTCGCTTTAAAGGACTTTTAAAACAAGAAAGGGAGTTAGCTTCGGCAAGCCGAAGGTTATATACCCTTGCAGATCATTCTATTAATTTACAAATCGCAAAAATGTTTAATTTCCTATTATTTCACAATAATTTTTCGATCGTTTCTATGTCAGCCATATGATATAGTAGTTCGATCTTTTTAAAATTAAAATCAAAATTTGGAAATATATATATATTTTAAAATGGTCATATCCCAGAGTAGAAGAGAATGTAATAAAAATCAACAAAGATATAATTTTTTTCCTAATAATTTCCATTTAATTTTTCGATATGATGATAAAGTTATCCGATTTTTTAAATATTTAATTCGAAATTCAGAAAACGTTTTTTTTCCGATCCTTCCTATGGGAGCTATAAGTTATAGTTGTCCGATCGGGTCGTTTCCGACATATATACTACCTGCAATAGAAAGAAGACTTTTGGGAAAGTTTAATTCCGATAGCTCAAAAACTGAGAGATTAGTTTGCGTAGAAACAGACGGACGGACGGACCGACGGACAGACGGACGGACAGACGGACATGGCTAGATCGACTCGTCTAGTGATGCTGATCAAGAATATATATACTTTATGGGGTCGGAAACGTCTCCTTCACTGCGTTGCAGACTTCTGACTGAAATCATAATACACTCTGCAAGGGTATAAAAAGGCTGGCGCCCACATCTTATTATTATACTAAATACGGACAATCCATTAAAAATGTATGACCAAAAAATGAAATGGCCTCTAGATGGAGCCACTAGCTTTGACGACTGCATATCCCCATCTCCCTACACAGAAAAAAATATGACAAAATATCAAATTGATATTTGTTGGTTAATTTGATCTTTTTTAAGGATCAAGTTTCGTCATATCATTCTAACATGAAAAAATATTATTTTGATCTTATTTCATATTAATTTTTGAAAAAAAATACTGAATTCGGTATTTAAAACAAGTATATTTACAATTTATATGAAATCGTATGACTTTGATATGAAAAAATATCAAATGTCGTTTCGAATTTAGTTCGAAAGGGAGAAATAGTGTTCCACAGTTTACAACACTGAGATTGTGCAGCACTGCAAAAACAGCTGGCCCAACTTTGAGACCAAAAATATTCGAGAACAAGGTGTTTTTATTGTCAAATGAAATCAATTTATTTTTTTATTGAGTGCTAAGTCGAAACATTACAAAGTTGTGGTGATTTTAACTTTGCCGTCGAGTTAGCACACAATTTAAAGACATTTCGGTTCTGAATGTGCGTGTGTGTGTGTGCCGGCCGCAGTTTTACGTTGTGTGTGTCACAGGCAAAACTAAAATAATAAAATATTGAAGATTTTGCTGGCCCACCTATACATATGTACACCGACTCAAAAAAATGTGAAATGATTAGAATTAAATTGTTTTAATATAAAATAAAAATTTCTGTTTTACTGGGGGGTACTAATATACACGAAATAATATAATTTTGATGAACAAAATTGATATAAAACAAGAGAGAACGTTATAGTCGGGTGCCCCGACTATCAGATACCCGTTACTCAGGTAAAGGGAGTGCGAGGGAGATGGAGATAGAGATAGAAAACGTTGATCACGCATAACTTTTTAACGAATGGTCCGATTTGAAAAATTTCTTCTACATTTCGATAGGTATTGATAAACACAATAAAACTGCATTTTTACTTTTCCAAAATATTAAAATTTTTAAAATCGTAAATAAGCGATTGTGGGCGTTAGAGGGGGCGTGGCACCATTTTGAAACAAACTTGCGCTGCGTAGGAACTCCTAAAATCTGCATGCAAAATGCCAATCTTCTAGCTTTTATAGTTTCTGAGATCTCAGCGTTCATACAGACAGACAGACGGACAGACGGACAGACGGACAGACGGACAGACGGACAGACAGACGGACAGACGGACAGACGGACATGGCTAGATCGACTCGGCTAGTGATCCTGATCAAGAATATATATACTTTATGGGGTCGGAAACGCTTCCTTCTCCCTGTTACATACTTTTGCACGAATACAATATACCCTTTTACTCTACGAGTAACGGGTATAAATATCATTTTGATGACAAAAATTGATATAAAAAATATCATTTTGATGACCAAAAAGTTCAAATGTTATTTTAAACACTAATCTTTCTTAAGATTGAATTGATATTTAAAAATATCAACTTGATATTCTCGAAAATATCAACTTGATATGTTCGAAATATCAATCTTGCATTAATTAATATCGGCCCAAATTTGATATGAAATAATGTTATCTTGAGTGCAATTTCATATCAATTTTTTTTTCTGTGTAGCACTTCCTTTAGCTGAGTAACGGGTATCTGATAGTCGAAGTACAACACTATAGCGCTGTCTCTCGTTGATGCTAAGGCTTTTCAGAAGTTGGTTGGCTTAGAAACAATTTAGGTTAAAGTAGAAAAAGTTAAATTTTCAAGATTTAAGCCTGAACAACTGGGAAAAGAAAATGTACCAATCTTTAAATTTTTGTATACCGTATTTTTCCGAAATACGTCTCTTTGCTACGATGCTCCATTGCAGAGTTATGCAATTTAAACAGATTTGAGGCCATTTTTAAATTGAGATCGAAAAGTATGTATGCCTGTTTTTTTTTGTTACGGTCCTGGGATACTTTTTGTCTTATTAAACCAATTTAACTGAAAATCATTTTTATAAAAAATATTTGAAAAATCCGACATTCCCTACCGAAAAATAGTCAAAAACTGGACGTTAATTATGCTAACAATTAATTTTAATTAAATATAAACAATAGTGCGGAATCACATACTTGCACCTGGTATACCAAGCAACCCCTCCGATCTGAATTAAAGGAGTTACTCCTCAGAAGTGAAGCAATTATGGTTCTGAGGAAAAGCAGAGTGGTCGACCGAGTGGGGTTTATGGGCTTTTTAAAGGCTAGGGATACTTGAACCGGACAGGCGCAGTGAGTTATGACCGAGTAATGAGAGCCAAGAAGCGCCGATGGCCCACAATATCAGCTCGCGTGTCTCAAGTGCATTGCTGCACAATTTACGCGGCCGATTTTAATAAATTCAATGACTCCAATTTGTAATTAGACGCTGGAGGTGCGCTGCGTGCTTTTAATTGTTTTGCAGCCATCCTTGGTTGCCTTTTGGCGCAACGGTTCCGCTTGACCCGCAACGCATCGAGCGGTCCGGAGGTCATCCGCGTGCCCATAACGCCCCAGAAATCGGAGCCCGACGCCCAGAGATTTGCAATGTGCAACTTGCAACCAGCTGCCGATTGAACGAGACTAGTTTTTGTTTGTATGATAACTGGTATAATTTATTTGCTTCAGCTTGTGGAAAATAGCTATAGTTCATTAAGTGTATATTATAAATCATGTTTATGTTCATTCCTATTTTGTAGAAATATGCTTCTGTTTTTTAAGTTCATTGCATACGGCCTAGGTGTTAGAAAATGTTTTTGTGTCTCTCTAAATGACTTACAACTAATTAAATAAACAATATGTACAATGGAGCTAAAAAATACGTTTTCTATCTGCTTGTTTCTTGTTGTTTTCTTTTGTGTATGGTGTGTGTGTGTGTTTCAAGTCTTGGAGCTCTTAAAAGGATGCATAGTTCTAAAAGTTGAATTTTGAATTCCTTTGTGCAATGGCCGCGAAAAAAGTAAACATAAGTAAATAAAATTTGAACAAAGCATTGCGGGGCTCAACAATTCTGCCGTATCGTAGGATATATAAAAATAAATAGCCTTTTACATCGATTTGCAAAACAATAAAATTGAATTTTTAAGTTTGCTTCACATTTCGCGGAATTCTATTAAATATATATTTACTGACTAGCAGTTAAAAACGAAAAAGTCATAGAAATAAATAAAATCAATGCAAACTGCGCTTTGCACTTAAGTACGTAAACGGAAACTCTCTCATTAAATTGACTAATAAATTGATTAATGTTATACAAATATGATTTGTGTATGTGCAAATGGAAGACTTTGCGATTATTGTTGTTGTCACTTAAAGTTTACAACTTTAGCTAGTCATTACATATTTATTGTATAATTTATACACTAGGTATTGTCTCCAATCCGATTTGCTTGTGTGTTTGATTTCTTTTGTTTTTTTGAAAGCTCATTTGGTACAGCAATTTTGCAGTTGAAATGCAATTCATTTAGCATAAATATTTATGGGGACCGCTGATAACTAGCTGGCGTCGTGCAGTCCGCTGCACGGCAACACTGGCAGCAACATGTTGCTGCTGGGGCAGCCGGCTGTTGCTGGCGTAGCGGCAACATCGCTGCCCTGATTGCTGTTGCTGCTGCTGCTGCTGCTGCCGTTGCTGCCGCCATTAAAGATCTCCGACTTGATGCTGCAACTAGTGGCTGCGCCTGCTGCTGCTGTCGAAGCTGCTGCTGGTGTTGCAGCTGCTCCTGGTGCTGCCCCACCCGTTTGCAGTGCCAGCATTTGTTGCGCCTGCGCAACGCATGCAACACACGGACACGGCCCGCCCAATTTCTTCGCCAATATGGAGCGCAGCTTGAGAGCCGGCCCCAGCTTCATGCCCAGCGAGTTAACCAAGTGATCTTCAGTTAAGAGCGGCAGGCCAGTGCCATCGATGGACTGATCACGAAACGACTGTAACGAGAAGAGAGCCGAAGAGAGAATTAGTGGGGTGTCTTCGGAAGAGTCATTAGATTTATGGCCACCATGACCACTTGCACAGTGCTTTGTAATATGCAAAAGAAATGGTATACAAATATTGTTTGTAAGTATTAAATTATTTGTACATATATTGAGAAAGAGAATTGTTTACAGATTCTGAAAGACTTTAAAAAAGATCTTAACCTCACAAATGGTAAAATTTTTTCTAATGTTCCTTTTCTTGTGATTAGTATGACTGTCTATTTAAATACATTTATGAGCAGTTTTCTTGGTCCACCGTTCCTTCGTCGAGAATTCGTAGGCGCAGGGCAACCTGTATTTTTCTTTATTCTGAATTCTGCATTTCGCTGTGTGTGTGTGTCTGTGTACTTGTGATTAATGCGCGGCTTTTAAAATTGTTAATGAAAAACGATTTTAGCCCAAGCTGCCTGACTTGGCTGCCGTTCGCTGCAGTAGCATTTTCATATTTGCAACGCACGATCGATTGAAAGTGGGCAGAGAGTGGGCACCCCATTTCCCTCCGCCTCTTTCTCATCCTTTGCGCTGATCTCCAGTGCCACGCCCCCTGCTGCTGCTGCTGCAAACTCCCCTTTGGGCAAAACGAAGCTCGCGCCACATGAGATTTCTATTATAGATTGGCCCTGATTGAATTCCACGTAGCTCTCTTCAACGGGGGCCAACCTGTTTCCGCGGCAGCTGCTGATGTTGCTGCTGCTGCACCGCTGCAACTTGGACAACTAACAACTGCCACTGTTTTCTGCTCCCCAGCAAATGCCCCTTCTTGTTTTCTTTTGGTTTTTTTGCCTTGGCCCCGCTTTGGACACGCCTTTATCGGGCTGCCCCTTTTTATGGGCGAGAAGAGCCATGGACGGAGTCAAATCGATTCGATTCCGGGCGGCGGCGGTCATCTCTATATATAAGGGAGGGTCGGCCAGCCCGGGCAGCTCAGCGTTGCAGCGATGTGGCGGATGCGGATGCGGCTACTCACTGGCTACCTGGTCCTGCTGGCCCTCGGCCATCTGCCGGAGCACGGCGCTCTGGGCCAGAAGTACTACATGAACTTTGCCTTCAACAATAACAATCCGGACGCCGAAGGCGGCGGAGCCGGCCCCGATGGTGGTGGTGCTGCTGCTGGCGGACCCGGTGGCCACGGATCCCACGAAGAAAGCGCCGGCCATCCAACCGACGCGGATGCCAGCGGTTCGACGGACGCTCCAGTAGGCGACACACATCACTCGAGTGAAGCGCACACTGCGGAAGCTAGTCACTCCGGCGATCATTCCGGTACGGATGGAGCCAAGTCCAGCGCGGATTCCTCTGGAAGCCATTCGAAGGGCAGTTCCAAGGGCTCAAGCGCGGCCCATGACGACGACGACGACGCTGGGCAGGATGACGACAATGACGATAGCGACAGCAAGGACGCCAAGGATCGGCGCACCAAGTTGGAGGCGAACGAGCGCAGGGAGGGCGGGGGCAAGCGCAACGATCACAGCCATCACAGTAGCTACGAGATCAGCATCGACGACAGTTTCGGCGGGCGGTACGTGCGATCCATCTACGAGAGCAGCGAGAGCCACGGACATTCCGGCAGCAATGCGGGCTCCAACCAGCGGGACAGCGCGGCTCGCGAGAGCAGCCAGGAGGGAGCCCACGAGGGCAAGGATGCGGCTGTTGTCGCCGCCGGCAGTGTGTCCGATGCGCCGGAAACTGGAGCTCTGGACGGCAAGCAGGATGACTACGAGGAAATGTAACACCACCGGGACATCTGAGAGTAAGGGCCGCCTGACCGTGGGCCAAAGCGATCCAGACTAACTATTTTTGTGTCTTTTCTCCTGCAGTACGATTCGCTCGAGGGACTTTGGGAAGACGCAGCCACTTCAATTGATTTTATCATTAAAATGACAATAAACTTTAAAATACTAAGAATGTTTTTTTAACTTAATGGGTGAAAGGTCTAAGAGCGGTAAAGGTCCGAAAATATTTTAAAAAGTTGCAGGATTTAAGGACCAAAAAAAATTAATTAATTCAAAAGATAATAAATCTTAACTAAAAGTGTAAATTTAAAAAATTAAATTATTAATTTTTACATATTTTACTAAAGACTCTTTTTCAAACTTTTTTTTTAATTGTTGTCAGAAGTTTATAATTGAGGGAGGCTTTACCAAACTACAGAAATGATCTGTTCAAATTAAATTATGTAGTAAAATGTAATTTAATGTATACATTTATTTCGTATATTAGATGTTTGTCTTTATTTTTAGCTTTCAGAATACTATTTTATAATAATTATTATAAATTTATATTTACTGTGTCTTGAATTTAATTTAAATTTCTCCCAATAGCGTGAACATTTCTTAAAGTAATTAAGAGCCGTCTTAGTTGTTCAATTTGGGAGAGCATGCTTTAAATTTTACTATCATTAAACTGGTGGAGCATTTTCGGACTGAACCTTGTTCAATTTCAAGTTTTAAAAGTGAACTGTGGCATCAATTAGCTCGATAAGCATATCGAACCTTATTAAAATTGATTTCAATTTAAAATATTTAATTCCATTGGTCACAAGTCAATATGGCGAGGGTATATAGGGAACCCAGCTACCATATTCGGACCTTCACTCTGGTTTCGGTGAAGCTGGAGGGCGTAGCTATGCTGATCTCCTGCCTGTGGACAACTCTTCCATGGATTGTAATGGGCCAGACGTACTACATGAGCTTCGTATTCAACAACTATGGGCCCTCTAGGATAAGTGCGCCTCAACTGGGATTCAACGGCACATCAAATCCGCAAATGGACGGAGGTACCCTAGAGGTCAGCTCGGAAGAGCATTCACGCGGCGGTGAAACCCTAGAAGTCAGTTCGTTAGAGCACTCAAGGGAATCCCAACAGAGGCCATCCCGTAAAAAATACAAGGAAATGGAAACTCTTGAACTGAGTTCAGAAGACCATTCGCGGAAGACTCATAGTAACTCAAGACCCGCTGTTGAAGATCAGGACTCAAGCGATTCGGATGAGACGTTGAATTGGTCCACGACTGCAAGGATAAGGCCTACGACTTCAAAGAGGAAAACAAAGACTACGACCAATGAAACTCCTGAGTGGCCCACCGAAATCACCACGCAGTCAACAAGAGTTACTGTTATAGAAACTGTTCAGCTTCCGGGAACCGTTTCCCCTGAAGTCACCGAGGATCCCCAGACACTCTACACGGATCCGCCAGAACTCGGATCATCGGCGACCATAGATCAACAGGAGAAGCCAACAAGGACTCCTCCCAGGACTTGGGTCGAGACCGTTACACCGCATCCCAGCGAATTCTTCGATTACCCACAGGCCACGTGCAGAGAGGACATGGATCTGCACGAGGTGTTTGGCATTACTCTCGAACGAGACCGCGGCCTGCCCACCAAGATATTGTGCGACTTCAAGAACAGCTGGGGGGGTCCCTGGCTGCTGATGACGCGGATAGAGCTCCCAGTGCGCATACACCTGCGACACTGGTTCTTCGGCTACGTAACGCCCGACTACAAGGACATTAACATCAACTTTCTGGGCCTGGCCCACATCATGAACTCGATGCGAACAGCCATGCTGATAATCGGGCAGGACAGGGACAACAAGTTGGTCTACAATCTGTACGACGATGTGGTCATCTCGGCCTTCAATGATCTGTTCATGTTGCGCAAAGCCGAGTTGGTGGAGGCCAACACCACGGAACTGCTGTTCGTGTCCGTGGGCAAGGTGATGAGCTCGTATGCGGGCCGGAATCGATCGTGTCCTCTACAGGTCCTCGGCAGCTGGTGGGGTCATCATGTGGTACAGGAAATGTACCAGGGATTTTTCTGGTAAGAGTAAGGGTATTCCTGCTGATTAGACCACTGTTCATTCATTGTTTTCAGTGTCTTCCCCAAGGATCGGGACATTTCCATGCCTGGCTATGTGGCCATTTTTATCAAGCCCAGTTTATTTCCGGCAAACCACACAGCTCTGTACAACAAGCCCATATCCACGCGACGGCCCTGGAAAACCAACCTAAATACGAAGATATTGAATGAAACTGCCATAAACTCGCCGACTAAGAAAAGCCAAAAGTCCGAATGGGATCGCAACAAGGTGGCTGTCAACAAGGAACTGGTGCGTCGTGCAAGGATCTTCGAGACAATCGATCGGTTGAGAATGGAGGAGGCAAGGCATAACAGGGGCATTGGGTAGCATTAAACGGGGTCTAGATTTAGGTTCACAAACTAAGGCTGGGAATTCTCCATTACTCAAGAAAGATAAGTATTTAAGTTTGGTAACGTTTAAATACTAAATCACTCATTAGATTAAGCTAATAAATACGAATTGAAGTTGTGTTTTATTTGTGTTTTACTAAAAAATTAATGTTTCCCCCTATGAGCTTTCTTCAAAGTAATCGTAGAATATTACACAATATTCTGACGACACTTTGGGGACAATTAACGTTTTTATTGTTCTCGAATGTTTCGATTAGATTAAGTCTAAATTACTATCTGTATCCCTTTCCCACAATGCGATGGTCAAAAGGTAAAGAGAAAATCTAAACGAGCTAAAAACTAAGCAAAGACCACGCTCTAACCGGAAATTGGTGGCTTTTACTCCTATGGCCACAGCTCTTAGGCTCTGTCATAATTTTACTCAGACAACGTAGAACGAAAAAAAAGAAATACAGGGGAGAACGTTAGGGGCAGGGGTTTTGATTTGGGTGGCTCTGTGGTTATGGTTATGGTCAGCCAAGTGCATTCTAAATTCTGTGCCAATAATTGACAGAGCCAACAATAGCAACAACAAGTTGGCATTAACTAGAGCCCAGGAAATGGCCAGAAAGCAAGAAAAAGAGCACAGCTCGGCCATAACAATACGGGCCAAAAACAGATTTGAATTGTGGGTCTCTGAGGCTCTCGGCTCTTGACTTTGAACTCCTATTCCAAAGGCAAAAAGTGCAAGAAATACAAAAAGTGCAAAAAATAAAGGAAAAGTCCAGGGCCGAGGCCATCTGGAGATCCATACACGCAATGTAATTGGACTCCAGGTCTCGGGCCTTCGTTCAGTTGAAGGCAATTTAAGACACAGGCACAGGCCAGGAGGAAAATGTGTGGAAAATATGGAATATGCAAATCATTTGGCTGCATCAAACAAAAGACTTTGTTAGCGTTAGGAGACCTAATTTAGTTTGCTATTTTCAACAGAACATCCGACGTTAATATTAAAGAAATGCAAGAAGGTTATCGTTTGGGTATTTTGGGGATTTGATAGCTTTCGCAGCTCATATCTCTTCGACATACTCAAAGGAGACACGCTTTTTGATTGAATATATACATAATTCAAGGAATTCGCGAATATTCACCATGAAATCAATGTGTTCCCAAACGCAGACACGTGAGATACGCATCTTAGAGCTCCGCCCGAACCCAAACCCAAACCCAAATCGAAATCAAAGTCTTGGTCTTCAATCTAATTAAACTTTATAGTTCAAGTTTGAAGTTTTTTGCCTGACTGGGATTTTTGTTTGGGCCAGAGAGAAGCGGAGGTGACCTGACTTGACCATGGACAGATGGTTAAATATCAATGAATGTCCAAGATCAATTTGCATATGTAGCCGAATGATTCGTCAAAAGTTTGCTTCGTTTGGATTTCGGTTCCGATTCTGATTCCGAACCTGGGACTTTGGGTTAAGCCAAAGAACTCGTAAATATTTTCTTGTTTTATACGACTTTAGGTTTGCCTCAGCCTTTTCATTCTTTAATAGAGCTATAAAGTTTAAGCCCAATAAAGTTATTTTGTTGCGCAATATTTACATAGAATTCAAGTGGGTTTCAATCATAAAATAGCCACATAAAATCGATTCTTGTTTTGGTAAAATATACAGATAAGAAAGGGATATACGATAGAGACGATTATTTGGGGAGGGACTATCGGTATGATAAAAATGGGGAATTTGCGGACTCTAAAGTTCTATTTGAGTATTATTAAATAATTAAAGTCCATTTCTCAAAACGATATTCCAGTCACGCACACATCCCTAATATGCATATAAATGGATCCAAATTGAATGGACGAGCATCTGGGGATAATCTCCAACTGTGGAATTTTTTGCAAAATAAATTAATAGCAGGGTCAGCGTATGGCGCGTCAAATGTGAAACGTGCCAGGTCCTCATCCGCGGCCTTCTGCTTCAGCTCGACCGAAAGTAAGTCCAGTCCAGGCCCCCGAAAACTCGAATCCAACCCCGAATCGTTTTTGCCCAAAAGACACATCACACTAATAAGCAGCTACAAAAGTGCTTCTGGCTGCTTCTGGTCACCCAGAGTGGACGATCCCCCCGAACTCTGGCCGCCAAAATACATTTTAATTTGAGGAGCCGACTCTGTGCAACGAAAAATGAATTCTCCCGGGTTGAAAGGGGCCTCTCTCTCTTTCTGCTGTTCCAGCCCAATTGTATTTCTGGTGCTCAATTTAGTTGTACGGATTTTGACCTGCTTAACCCTAAAGCCAGCCGGAAAGAGATCGCCGAGGGATGGGGATTGGGGATTGGGGAACGGGGGGAAGACAAGAAGCGAAGACAACAATTTGAATTCTAAATTGAACAGCTTTTTGTGCTACCTATGCCCGGGAGCTCGCCCAGCCGCCAGTTGAGTAGAGCGCTGATCGCAGAACGTGGGCCGACCTGCTGCCAACTTGCAGAGGTTGAAGCTGTTGTTTCTTTGGCTTTGGCTTTGGCTTTAACTTTGGAGCTAAGGCTGGGGCAGAATCTGAGGCTGAGCCACCGTCAATTGCGCCCAACTACCTACTCATTGTAATTCTTCATGTCTGGCCACGTCCCGGCCGGCCAAAAGCACAGGCGAACCGAAAGAGCTGGCCAAGAGTGAGCCAGAGACTGCGACCTGATTGCCAGCAGTGGCAAGTACCCAGTTCCAGTTGCCCATCAGCAACCTTTGGCTCGGTTCGCTCGTATCGGTGGCTGCCCACCTAAAACAAAAAAGTGACACTGCAAAAAGGTGTGCTGGACTGAAAGATATCCATTGGGAATATTTTTTGTAACTTTTTTTATTTTAGATGTACTAAAATAATTTAAAATAACTTGGGTTAAGACCATTTTACATTACTGGCTTTCAAGTATTTTTTTTATATCATTTCAGTATTAATATATTGGGACACATTGGGACAAATGATTGCATGATAGGTAAAACCATAATTTAAAATGAAATAAAATCACTAGGGTTGACTTTTTTAAATTTAATGATTTTCTATAAAACTTAATGATTGGTTGTTCTATACAGACCTTACAGAGGCTTAAACCAATTTTTTATGTTTAAATCTTCAACAGAATTCCGATTTCGGATATACCCAAAATCTAGCCAGCTCAATACGGGGTATCGAAAAGTTGACTTGTTGGCTTCACCATCGCGGCTTCACTTCACTTGTGTCTTTGGCTTTGATTTTGGTACCGAGTATTTAATGATATTTCCCTCTTTTTATTCAGCCCAGCAACCCAACAATTACGCTTAATGCCAAACATCCTCTGCCGTCCAACTGTTTGGCTGTCCCAGCTCCGAGTTCCAAGCTCCAAGCTCCCGAGTGCGGTGGCTGTGGTTTGATCTTGTTACGCATTCGAGGCTCTCTTTTACTCTGCCTCTTGGAGCGACGACTACTAGGTGGCCCGGCCTCTAGATTGTGTTCTGGAATCTGTGTTCTGGCATCGGGATCTGCAATCTGAGGTAGCATTTGATTGGCATGTAGAGCAGAACAGCCTCGACTAGCTATCTGTCTTGGCGGATACTTGCTTATCGGAGATCGACGAAGGGCAGGTTCTAAACTCTCGCTGCACTTTCCACCGAAAGTGTTGGAAATTGCCATTCTAGGCCATCCGCCGATTGATTTGCCCACTAACTATCCATCCGCGCTCTAAGAAAACTGTATTCTATATCAATCATCGTAGTGTTTCAACAACAGCGAATCAAAATTGCCCTCCTATTATTTAAATAATTTATTAAATTATTGAACACTCGCCCTGGGCCGAGTAATGAACCCGGGCTTTGGCTCCGACTTAGACAGATGTAATAAATAAGTTTTATTTTTATTTCACAGCTACTGCCGCTGGCGGAACCAGACGACGCGACTGGGACAGTGGGCGAGTTGTGCAAATTGCTGATAAACGCATGGATAAGAAAAGGACTGGAGTGGGGATATAAAAAATATGGTATTTTGTAACAGTGAATTTAATGCAATAAAAACCTTATTTTAATAAATAAAAAAAATTATGTAAGCTAAACAACATTTTTCAGAAATAAATAAGTTAGATTCCAAACACCAAAGTATTTATTTTGCCTAACAACAATCGTTAGTACTAATCCATTGGGAATAAGAACTTCCGTAAAGATAATCCCTAAACTTTAGTTTACTATGAAGACCAAAGGTTACATTTTTATAAATTTAAAGAAAAAACCTTCTATAAAAATTTTTTAATTTTAGAACATTTTCCATTAGCTGTTTACTGGCTTACAACATTTATTAATCCACCTTTCCTGTTAGTTTTTGGCCACTGTGCACAATGGGGCCAGCACAGATATTACATCTTAAGGTCAAAATATTAGCAAATTTTATGTGACCCGCTCACCGAACCAAGCCGCCAGGGAAACACAGAAAAGAAGGCCAGTCAATCCAATCCACTCCAAAGGGGAGAATGGGGGAATCTGGTAGTGGATTGGGATTGGGATTGGGGGACCTGCACCGGCTGGGGAGCTGGGGCTGCTGTTAATTTCGCTGCAGAGAGCGGTAGGCACATAATCAGTTTATTTTGTTGCTTTGCTTTCCTCGGCAGCAGTAGGAGCAGGAGCCGAAGCTCAAGAAGAAGAAAAAGTGCCCCGGGTTACACGCCAAAGATACAATTTTAGATTATATGGCCAACTGCGCGCATGCGCATAATAATAATGCATGCAACAAGACGAAGACGACGACGACGATGGCGACGAGTAGCCAATTGCAGGCAAGGCTCAGTTCAGTTCAGCTCGGCCCAGCTTCTCTCAAGACCAAAAGCCGGGTCGTCTTTGGGCCTCCGCTTTGCTTTGGCTTTGGCTTCCTGTAGGGGCACAAAAAGGCGTGCAAGTGGGTATAATCATCATCAGCTTTGATAACACACCACGAGCGACGTTGGCTGCAACGACCTGCCTGCCTGGGTCCGAGGTTTTGAAGACCCGGGACCCCAGACCCTAGACCCCCAGACCCCAGACCCGGCATGATCTGCTGCTTGGCATTTGACTTTCGGGCCGACTTCTCTTCTTCTTTCGCTCTTTG